AAAATATATTATATTAAACTTATGGTTAAATTACGATATAATTAATTAACAGTAAAGTTAAACATATTTAACTAAAGAAAATAAATGATTCTAAAATTCAGTTATTTTACCAGAAAATGTCATTTTATATAAGAATAATAGTTTTAAAACCCGGGACTTAGCGTTAAGTCTATGCCATGAGTGCAGAGAGAGAGAGAGAGAGAGAGAGAGAGAGAGAGAGAGACTTAAAATCGATACCCATTTTATAATACCATTTATTTATAACTTATATCTCTTGGCTATAAATACAGTATTATTGCTATAATAATGGGGCAAAAATAATATGATGGTAAATTTATTTTCCACTTAAAATCTACAATTTATACCGAAATAATGGAAAAATAAATTTTCCAAAGACTATAATAAATGAACTAAAATAGTTATTTAGAGTATAAAACATTACATTTGATTTTGTCTGAACATTAAATTGCGCTATTTATCTAGCTCATTTAATTTTGCAAATTGTTACCATATTTAGTTTTAAAAATTTAATATATTAGCTAGCACTGGAGTTAATTAACTTATTAAATTATTTAGCTTGACATTATAGTCTGTAAGTAATAACATCTAGATTTTTCCACAGTAAAACCTTTATATATTTTCTTATGGATCGGAATATAATCTAAAAGTTTTTACACAACAATTGATGCGATCTTTCATTTCTCTCCTCCGATAGGAATCGCAATAATAAACGACTGGTTATTATGGAAGCGATGACTAAATTATAGGCCGACAGACAAACACTGCCATCAGTTTTCTCAGAGAGACTAAGAAAGAGATTGAGATAACTAAGCGTTTCATTTGGGTTGACATAAATGATTGCACTTTTAGGTCAAGACATCATTGGTATACGTGAAACGCATTTCTCTCTACTATGACTCTCTCTCCTCTTCTTTCTCCCTCATCCCCATCACTCTCCCACCCATTTATCCACTCTCTCATCCCCTCCTACTCTTCCACTAGTGAAAAACTACTACTCCTTCGCTATATTTTGTTATATAATGTCTTTATATATACCGTATATTTCAAGACATAGAGAGAGAATATAAGGACTTAATTCTCGTCTCAATTCAAACGCTAGAAATTACACACAAATATCACGAGAGAGAGAGAGAGAGAGAGAGAGAGAGAGAGAATTGCGAACTAAAGAAAATTGCCATTAAATTAGTTGAAACACTAAAAGTTTTACTGATATTTAATCAAAACTTAAGACTCGGAGTTAACGGGCAGTCGACTGTTGGAAGTCGGGGTCAGTTTAGCTGTCGGTGTCGTTGAATACCAGATAAGCCAATCAAATGAATATCAAATTAACGGTATAAGCAATTTTCATGACTCTCTCTCTCTCTCTCTCTCTCCGTTAAACTCACACATAATTAATTGTATTCAGTTATCCGATACACTCTCCTATCGCTCACTCACTCCCGCACTAACAATGCGTTTGTTTAATACCAAATACAATGTGTTGTTATTATAATAATATAATACAATAATCGCTATATTATTCAACAATAGATTAAATGCAGAGTAAATAGAAAATAGATTTCTATGGCGTATAGACTATACAATCTACACAACTATAAGTGTAATGATAAAAATTAAATGCAATAATTATCATGACAAATTCATTAAAAGTATAAGTTGTTGTATAAAGGTAAAATATTTATAATAATATATTTATATAAGCAAAAATTATCGAGTTAGCAATTTGCGATTTGTTAATAATAATGCAAAATGGGCATAAAATGTATTCATTTATAAATATACACTACAAACTTTTATTATCGACCCAGACGTTTGTTATTAGTACAGGGAAACTGCTTGAATTAGCTTATAAAACTTTTTTGTCTGTAGCAAAATCACAAATATTAAAACACCATTCTATAGTAAATTACAAAAGAATAAATTTGATGTGCTACACGGCCCATTTGACCTTTAGACATGGCAGCAATTAAGCAACAAAAATTGTCAAAAATACCGAATTTTGAAATGTGAAAAAATATTAAAGCTTACAGCTAGACAGTATAGTAAAATTTTGAACCCCGTTTCAAAATAAGTTTCAAAAATGTATAATATATTTGCGTGCCTTTTATAGAGATCCTGTAAAATCAATTAACTTTTTTTGACCACTTTTGATTTTACGTAATTGTGGCCAAGTTTTAAAGTGAATATAGTCGTGTAGCATATCAAATTTATTCTTTTGTAATTTACTACAGAATGGTATTTTAATATTTGTGATTTTGCTACAGACAAAAAAGTTTTTTTCGGGACGTTTTCTAAATCACCTAAAAATCCGATCTTTGATCATTATTTTAAAAAATACATAAATGCGATTAATAACTAAATAACTAACGTATACAACAGTGAAAAGTTTTATATTCTAATTCAAGCTGTTTTCCTGTACTAATAACAAACGTCTGGGTCGATAATAAAAGTTTGTAGTGTACATGTATATCACATAACATTTATAACTTTGTTGAAAAAATGTTGCTAAAACCATTTTATAATAACAAATTCAAAGTAATCTTTGCGTATATTTTCTGCAATCATAAGTGATTTTCTAGTATTCCATGCCTTCCTCTCAGTCTTCCTATTGTTTTTAACATTAATTCCATTGAAATCATCAAATATTTATCAAAAAAAAACTTTTATACTTGAAGTGAATATGCGATGAGTTTTTATGTATATTTCAATTGATATGTGATTTCAATTCAAATGTGTTTTTCAATCGTGAGTTTTTTGTATTATTTTATTTTTTGTAATTTATTCCTACAATTTCTTTGGGAATCAAATCGGAGACAACGCCTTCAGTAATGACTGCATCTCCCACTCTTTTCACATCCCATTCCTTACACTCAATGATCGCAAACCAAAAATACTTTTGCATTGAGTCTTAAAG